GTCCAACTGTAGGATACGAACTGGTCCAAAATAATCTGACGAGTAATGCAAATGTACTATTATAAAAACAAAACTTGATGATTTAGCAGAAGCAGGGGAATGATTCAAAATGCCTCTTGGGTTTCAAGTCAAACTAACTAGAACATTAAAAAACTACTAAATAATGGCTGAAGAACCAGACTAGGAAAGGTAAGTTCAATTTTCTGATAGATTTATATTTTTAGGTGATAACAAAACACTAAATAGAAATACAAGACTGGTGCCTGGCTGGTATGGCTCAATGGTTGAGCAGCAACCTAGGCACCAAGAAGCTACCAGCTGGATTCCTGGTCAGGGCACATGCCCAGGGTTTCCGGCTTGATCCCGGCAGGGGGCATGCAGGAAGCAGCCAATCAATTAACACTTATGTTTCTAATGGCTATCCCTCTCTCTCTCAAATCAATTAAAAAAAAAAAACACCACACATATTTAGAAATACGAGACTGCAGATCTATGATAAATAGTTATTGAGTGCTTACTATGTTCTGTCCCTAAGGTACTGGGCATAGAAATGAAAAGTCCTTAGAAGAGGATAAAGGGGGAATAAATGGTGATAGGAGGAGGCTTGACTTGGGGTGGTGAACACACAAATAATATACAGATGATGAACTACAGAATTGTACACCTGAAACCTGTATAATTTTATTAAACAATGTCACCTCAATAACTTCAATAAAAGGGTTAAAAAAAAGTTCTTATCCTTATGGGGTTTATATTCCATACAGTCAATCAATCAATCAATCAATCAATGTAGTTGAATACTGCAAAATAATAAGATGGAACAAGAAAACAGTGAGTTGGTAAAGATTAATGTTTTTTTGCAGAAGGCAGTTAGAGAAAGCCTCCCTTATAAATTGTTTTGAACAGTCTTGAATGATGTGATTGAAGACCTTCAAATACCCGAGGGAAGAATATCCCTGGGAAAGCACACAGCACAAGATAGATACAAAGGCAGTAATGAGCTTAGAGTATTCAGACCCAAGAGGCTTAGATGAAAGTGAGTGTGTGGGGATCAAAATCACATCAGATAGAGGAAGGAGTCAGATTGGGTACCACAATAAGGAATTGCATTTCCTTGTAAGTGGGATGGGAAGCTACTGGAGAATGCTGAGCAGGTGACATTATCTGACATTTTTCAAAGATCACTGAGCTTTGTAGATGAGAACTGATTATATGGGGTAAGAGTGGTAGCAAAGAAAGCCTAATAAAAAGCTTTTGCCATAGTCTATGAAAGAAGTCATGATGACTGGAGTAAAATAATAGTGGTGAGGCAAGGAGAAGTGATGAGATTCTGGATACATTTTAAAGTAGAGCCCAGGCCACTGTGGCTCAGTTGGATGGAGCATCGTCTCGACACCAAAAGGTCATGGGCTTGATTCCAGGTCAGGACACTTACCCAGATTGGGGGTCAGGGTATGTACAAGAGGCAACCAATGTTTCTCTTTGTCTCTCTCTCTCTTTCTCTCTCTCTCTCTCTCTCTCTCTCTCTCCCTTTCTCTCTCTCTAGTAAAACAATTACAAAATATATCCTCAGGTGATTTAAAAAAAAAAGTTGCCCAGCCGGCGTAGCTCAGTGGTTGAGCATCAACCTAGAAACCAGGAGGTCACAGTTCGATTCCCAGTCAGGGCACATTGTCCTGACAGAATGGATGTGGAGTGTGAAAGAAAATGAAGAATCATTGATGACTCCTAGACAATAGAGATGAGTGACAGGAAATATCAATGATGCCATCTACTGAAATAGGTAATGATGAAGGAATGAGTAGAACTATTACTATCTCTATATTCCATATTAAAGAAAACTGAGGCACAGAGTATCTAAGCAACTAGACCAAAGTCACACTGTTGGTAAGCAGCAAACCTGGGAAATGAATTCAGGCAGTGTAGCTCCAGAATCTGAATTCTTAAAGCTAAGCTAAACTGCCTCCTAAGACTCAAAGGGAACAAAATTTGAAAGAAGGTCTAGATCTGAGCTCCAGGTTCAGTTCAACATTTGGGAGTCACAAAAAGGATAAACCAAAAAAGTCTTAAAAAGGACTTAAAGCAGAAAATCAGAAAAAGTTTGGTGTACTGGAAACCAACTGAATAAAATATATCAAAGAGGAATGCTAAGAGATAACAACAAAAAAATGGACTAGGAATTGACTGTTGACTATTGAATTTGGCAAGATGGAAGTCACTAGGGACTTGGAAATAAAAGCTTGATGGAATGAGTTATATTTATAATTCAAGAGTTGAACTTCACAAGAAATATCCAAAATGAGATCCACTTATTCAGTAACTGTTTACTGAATGTTTATTAGTATCAGACACACTGCATGCTGGGAACATCATAGTGAACAAAACAAAAATCCCTGTCCTCGTGGAGCTTACATTCTGATAACACATCTAGACATTTCTTCAAGGGAAAAGCTATTGCCAGTATTTTGCTTCTTTATATAAAATGCTATATTACATAAATCGGTTCATGAATTCCTTATTCACCATTTCAGTTTATGAATAAAGTAGAAGATAATTTTTAAGTACAGATGTATACTAATGTTAAATGGTAAATAATTATATCAAGTGATTTAGTGAGAGGACTTTAATACCACTGACATACTCAGTTAAATGTATTCTACATACTATATTCTACATGCTATCCTAGTAAAATATTTAACATAGGAGTCTATAGGACTCTGTCCAAGGATTATTTACTGGGAGTCTCTGACAGGTCTTCTTAGATAACTTTTCATGATATTTTGATACATGGATCATGAGAAGAGAATATGATTCAAATGCCCAAACCTGACTAACTTTAAAAAGTAAGCTTTTCTGTAGCAAAACAATGTTCCTATACTCAGGAAACTTACTATCTGGCAAGCTCACATGACACATTCTCAATTCAACAAATATTAAGCACTTATTATGTAATTAAATAATTAAGGGGCATAAAAAAAATGCCAAATAATTTGGTAAAGATAAACGGTGTTGCAGGAATTTTGAAAAGAGTGGAGATTATGGTGAGTTAGAGCAGTTCTCAACTGGGAGCTATTTTGTGGTCCTGAGGAACATTTAGCAATTTTTGGAAATCTTTTAAATCATGACTGGGGAAGGGAGGTGCCACTGGCATCTAGTGGGTATTTGTCGGGGATGCTTACATTGCACAGAATAGAACGAACACACACACATACACCAAAGACATTTATCTGGTCCAAACCATCATACTGTTGTTACTGAAAAACCCTAGGATAGAGTAATCAAGAAACAATCCCTGAGCTGGCCTTTCATCATGAGGACATGTAGAAAGGTAGAAGAAATAAAAGACGCAAACATATCAAGGCAAGAAGGAGCCTGCTTTGAACTGGCTGCTGTAGGTGCTGAGAAAGGTTTTGACATTAAGAAATTTATCTGATCGCAATGAAAATGTGCATTAAAAGAGTCAGTAGGATATAAAAGTGAACTGGAAGCTAGATTATAAAACAACTAGACAAAGGTACTGGAAACGAAAGCAGCAGTTATTAAGAAATTGTTTTACTTGGAGCATTTGCCCTAGAAATTAATGTAATAATTTGTAAAACTACTTAAAGGGCAGCAACCATGTCTTATCAGTATCTCAATTTCTTAAGTCACTGAACAGTGTCCTGTAAATAGTGTGTGCTAAGTGCTTACTAGATTAAATGCGATTTTCCAATGAATTATTTACAAGTATTATTGGTGAACTCTAAAGTTCCATCCACTGTATTTAGGACATTCATTTAAACTTGAACCAAAAAAAAAAGCCATCATTTAGGTGACTACTATATAAAGGCACTGCAGTAGGCACTTACACATATTATTTAACCATGAAGAAAATGTGTTTTTCTCTCTTTAAAGATGAGGATACTGGGGCCCAAAGAGCTGAAGTGACTTGCCCTTGATTTCACGCAGCTAGGAAGTGGCAGATGTAAGATTTAACCCTCTTCTGGCCTTCCCCCAAATCTCCAAGCTTCAGTGATAGGCTGTGAGGAAGGGTTAAAAAAGCAAAACCTGCCGAAACCGGTTTGGCTCAGTGGATAGAGCGTCGGCCTGCGGACTGAAGGGTCCCAGGTTCGATTCCGGTTAAGGGCATGTACCTGGGTTGCGGGCACATCCCCAGTGGGAGATGTGCAGGAGGCAGCTGATCGATGTTTCTCTCTCATCGATGTTTCTAACTCTCTCTCTCCCTTCCTCTCTGTAAAAAATCAATAAAAAAATATATTTAAAAAAAAAAAAGCAAAACCTGACACCCACCATTCACCACGAAAATACAGAGGCAACTCCACTCACAGCTGTCCTTCACGTTTCTTTACTACAATAACTGCAGTCAGATCACCCCAAAATTCTCTCCTCGAAAACTCCAACTTGTGCAGTTAATGCCCTTAAGCCAGAAGAAGATAAACAAAAGCGAACCTGTTGAATCGGTATGGCCGGTCGGTACCTACTGCCAGTGATTCAGAAAAACAAAAGGGGGGAGGGGCGTTTTAAATCCCAAACAAACCGGCGCTCTCAGATCCACGGTCCGCGCCCCCACTTCCAGCAGCTCGGGTCCTCCATTCGGCCTCAGCTGTGGCCGCGAGTCCCACTTGGAGCGCGGACTCAGCATCCCCCCCGAGCCGAGGCGCCCCTCCCCGGCCCTCCCAGCTCGCTTCTCCCAGCAGCTCGGTCCCAGCACCAGATGCCACGCCAGCTGTTCCTCCCGAGCTCTCTCCACCGCAACCCTTCGGGCCAGTCTTTCCAAACCCACGGTCCCAGCTCAAGGCCCATTCCGCGGGCTCCCTGCGTCCCATCTTCTTTCAAAGAGGATGCGCCCAGCCCGCGACCTCCTCCGAACTCTTAAGGTTGGAGCCTCGTGTAAGGGGGACGGCCTGGCCTGGCCCCGGGGTCCAGAGCGTCCGCAGGGAGCGGGCAGAGTGGGGCTGCAGTCCGGGGGGCAGTGCGCCGGGAGCGGCAGAAGCACTTACCGACATCCTGATCGAAGGGATTAGTGGCAAAGAGAGGCATCTCCACTGCGTGCCGAGGTGTCCGCAGGGACTCCCCGTCGACACCACGGGAGTCAGGGTGCGGCGGAGGAAGGAGGACCCCTCAGGCAAAAACAGCGACTGACACGGACCCTACGGGGTCCGCGACAGGCTACCGTCTCACCAAACCCCCAACAACGGCGGCGGCGGCAGCAGCGACAGCGGCGGCCACGGCTAAGGAGCCCAGAATGGCCCCCGCGTGGAGCCTGTCGGGAATCGGGGTGACCTCAGCGCTGCCTGCCCAGAACCTGCCCAGAAACTGCCCCTCCAAAACAGGTCCAACCAAAGCGTCCCCTCCACCCGACTTCTCCTTTGATTAATCATACAGGAGAGTGGCAATAATGCCTGCGTTTTCTTCTTGTGCCTTGGCTGGCAGTCTGCGGGGGACGGGGTCCTCCAGGCGCGCGGAAGCCGACTAACAATCCCAGGAGTGATACGGCTGGGAAAGAAAAGGGGTCGCGTTTGTGTTGAGCGAGACCCCTTTTCCCCCTTTCGGTTGGTGGTCCTAACTTTGTAGTTCCCTTTGGAGGGGGATGGGAACGTCTGCATTTGGAGTCAGCAAGGTAGAGAGGCTATGAGTAATTTGCTGTCCGAGGGGACAAGCTTGCTTGGATGAAGTCATGTGAGCTGGACGGCTGGGCTGGAATCCCAGGAGAGGGGAGTGTCGGGCGCTCCCGGGAGAGGGCTGAGGTCTCGCTGGCACCTTCCCCAGAGTCTCCCCGAACGCCCGGCTGCAGAATCCCTGGAAAACGCTTCTAGTTGGGCGTGGGTGGGTACTGACTAACTGTGCAGTCACTAGGCAGCTGTGCTGGTTGGAAAATAAGTGTCATAACCCAAGAATGCCCCCCTAAACCGAGCAAAAAAGAAAACTGAAAAATGGGACTAGAAATTGATTAGTGATTCCTAACCACTTAAAATGTTTACTTACTAATTTCACTAACGTTTATTTAACAAATGTCGAAATTTTAAGGAGCATCCGCTAGATGTTGCGTCCCATTTGGAACAAACAGCATCTTGCAGGAGAACTGAAATTAGGTACATTATGTCCAAAAATAGAGCACTTCCAAATGTAGCATGTAAACAAATGTTTGCAAAATGTCAGCAACAGTATTAGTAGTGGTGTACGAAGAGTGCTTACAAACATCCATTAAGAATGAAGTTCCATTTCTAAAAGTGAAAATGCAAATTAAAGTAGCATTTGGATACATATTTGTCATTCAGACATAGAATTAGAAATGTGGAATCATACATTCACACTGTTGAATTAAGTGTAAATTAATATATTCCTCCTCAAGGAAATATTTGGAAGTATGTAACCAAAGCCTTTAAAAATGTGAACACCTTTGTACCCAGCAATTCTACTTTTTGAAATTTATCCTAAAGACATCCTTTAAGAACATGAGCCAAGATATTCATAACAACATTGCATATATTACCAAGCATTGATCACCACTAAAATGTCCAATATTAAGAGATGAGACAAATTACTTCACTTCTTGGGGCCCCAGTTTCCTCTTCTGTAAGAAACAGGAGAAATAATAGGGTTGTGAAGATCAAGTGGATTAATACCAGTGAAACCCTTAGTTGAGTAGCATATAGTAAATATTAAATAAGTATAAGCAATAGTTATAATTAGTATTGGTCCAGTAAATACAGTAGACACGCTGTACTAGTAAAAACTCCACAGCTATTAAAAGTGATAATATAGATCTATCTTTACATAGAATGACATCTAAATACATAAGGTTTTAAAAGCAGGTTACAAAACCATGCAGAATTACAAAATAACCCAGATTTTTTAAGTCTGAAAGGAAATACATGAGAATATTATTACATGATCCTCTCTGAGTGATAAGATTTGGGTTGGTTTTTAGTTTTCTATGCAGTTTGTGTTTTTCAAATATTTTAATGATGAGCCAACTTTCTTTCAAAAGCAGAAAAAAATGAAAACATAATGTAAAAAAATGTGGTACATTTGTAACACTGGTTCTTAACATTTTGAGGAGCCAGTGCCAAAAGCTTACTTGTGTTTCATTCTGGCAGTATAAAATTCGTCCTAAACATCATTATTGGTGTGTGAACCAGAGCATTTTCTATCAAAAACCAGTTGTTGATTCCTGGGCTGACAGAATCAGGGGACAACTTGTCCGCCTCAAGTTTCTGAGCAGAGCTGGGGCACATTATTATAATCACCTTGTATCATAGCCAAATGTTTATGGAAATGCATTTGGATGTGCTTTGTGGTTCAGTAATGAGACTGAATTATTCTGTTGCCAGCAATAATCTATGGATCAAGTTGTTCAAGCCTTGATTATCAATATGTGAGCACTGGGAATAGTGAAGCACTGGGAATTGTTCATCTTGATAGCATTATCTATATATTCTGACTTAGAATATGATTTAGAAGGATGACTTTAGCTATTTGGGCCTTTTATGATTAATATGCTGTAAGTAATAAACATTTTTAAATGTAAAGTTTTTAACATTATTATGTTTAACATAAAAGCCAAATATAAAAAAGTGAAATGAGTTTGTATTTTGAGGTTAGCTTTTCATTATTAGCCCTGAAAACATTGAAACTGCAGGAGTTTCATTTTTACTATAGTTTTTAAAACACTGTAGAAACTTTGTCAATTTCACATTCAAATATTTCTGTAATATGTGTTTACTAAATTCTGTGGTTAATTTAAAATGCTAAATCTTTTCTTTGGTTTAATTTTGAAAATTCTTATACATTAAAAAAAAGCAACATGCAAATGGAGCTACTTCAAGAAAAATCTGTAAGTTTAATGTGTAGGGGGAAAATATCGTAGGAAAAGTATTAACACTACTTTAGTTCACACCCTCATTATCTCTTAGATGAATGATTGCATTCACCCCCTACCGGGGTTTTCTCCTTTCCTTATAGACTGAAGTGTGTCCTCCCAAAATTCATAGGTTGATATTCATAATATCAATGTGGTACTATTTGGAGATGGGGCCTTTGGTGGGTGATTAAGTAATGATTAGGTTTATATGAGGTCATGAGGGTGAGGTCCTCTTGATGGGATTAGTAAGAGGAAACACCATGTAAGCACACAGTGAGAAGGCAGCTATGTCTGCAAGCCAGGACTAAACCCATACAGGCACCCTGATCTAGGATCCAGTCTCCAGAGCTATAAAATAAATTTCTATTATTTAAGCCACACAGTCTGTGATCATTTCTTATGGCAGCCAAGCTAATACACCTGCCTATCTCCCAACCATTCTCCAAACCTCTACTAGAATGATTTTTCGAGCACACAAACCTGATCATATTCCTATGAAATTCCCACATGGTTCTTCAGCCACTCAATCATTCAATACATATTTATTAACTCCTTATTTGTGCCAGGTACCATTCTAGAAGCTGGAAATACCATAGGGATAAAAGCTCTATGTGAGATAACCATTTTCAGAGTATAATAACCTATGGGAAAGACAGTCATTAAATAAATAATAAATTAATTACTTGATTACAAGCATGCAGATCAGCCTCCTGCCTTCAGGATTAAATCCTAATTCTTTAGTACTACATCATTACTGAACTGGTCCCTGAATACCTCATCTCACAGTTTTTTGTTTTTATCACATTTTCGAATTTTTTGTTTTTATTTATTTTTATTGATGAATGTACTACAGATGTTCACTTTTCCCCCCATTTATCCCCTCCATCCCTCCCACCCCTCCCTCAGGCTCCTCAAAGTTTATTCATATCCCCTGCTTTAGTTTTTCTGCTGCCCCCCAGACTTTCCATGGCTTTAAAAAAGCAATTCTTCTTGCCTTTCCTGCTCTGATTCTATACCTTCTGTAAACCTCCACACATATTTGATTTTTCAGAAGCCTTTCCTGGTGCAGTACCTGACTGGAAATAGGCATGTAATAAATATTTGTTAATTTGATATTGGTCGCCTCTATCACAGCACTTAATGGTATTATATTTGATCCAGGTGTCTTTTACTACATAAAAATTACCCCAAAGTTGGTGTTTTAGGGCAACAATCATTATTTCTTTTGCTTGCAAATTGGAAATGTGGTCAGTGTTCCTCAAGCACAGTTTGCCTGTCTCGCTCCGTATCAGCAGGGATGGCTCAGAGGGTGGGATGATGACACTGGGGCCGCGATCTTTTGAAAACTTACACAATTAACGAGTCTAGCAGTTGATGCTGGCAGTTGGTTGGGTCATTGGGGTTGTTAGTCAGAACAACTACAGGGAACCTCCTATGTGACTGTTTGGTTCCTCCCAGAATATTGAACTGAACATTTCAAGACTCAGGAAAAGGAAACTATCACTTTCCTAAGACCTGAGTTAGGAAATGGGCACGGCATTATTTCAGTCATAGTGTACTGGAAAAGGAGTCACAGTGTCTATACTCAAGGAGAAGAACTCTCACTTCTTGGTGGAAGGAATATTAAAGAATATGGGGCCACATTTGAAAGCTACCGCAATATTGTAACTTTTAGTCTGTGATTCATTTATCTTTGTATTTCTGGGCTTTTCATAGTAGGTGTTCCATAAATATGTGTTAAATGTAGTAAATAAAGGGTATGATTAAAATAGCATACTACCATTTCCAGCCACAATGGATTAACAGAATCTGGACTTTTCATCATATCCAAATAGAACACTGGAAAAAAAGGAAGCAATTTCAAACATGGGACAACAGACTGGGATCCTTCCGTGATCCCAAGGAGAACGGAAACAGGCAATAAGCCCCATTATTGCTGTTGCATTAGGCCTACAAGTCATTTTATGAACTGTGCCATATGGATGGGAAACCCAAAAAGAACCAGAAGTTCTTATAAATCAGAGTTTGGGGAACCCAGGGGGCTACAATTTGGAGGACAGAACACTAGGAGAGTGCTATTATGAAGAGAAAGGGCTCCAAAAATCTGCACAGGAATTATCTTGAGACTCTGGCTGACTGCTAATCTAGTCATGGATATTGTAAATCTCTACAAGTCTGAGTAAAGAACTTTCAAGGTAAGGACTATTACCAAGGAAGCAAAATCTGAAAGATCCCAAGAATTCACACAAGGGCAATGTCCTAGTGCTAGGGAGTAGCCTGAGAGAGAAAGCTACTCTAGATTTGCTTTTTTAAACAGCCTAAAAGTTAACTTTTAAAAAGATGAAGATGGATAACACATATAACTAACATATAAAGGTCAGAACAAAGTAATAAATTTAAAAGGAATATTCCCCTACCCACCCCCCCCCAAAAAAAAATGCAGCTGTCAAGAATGCAAAATTCTACAAAGGCAAGACTCGAATAAAAAAGTTACTGAACACATGAAGGGCCAGGAAAATGTGACCAATAACCAGTGGGGAGAAATCAGTCCTTAGAAATAAATCCAGAAATTAAAGAGATGATGGAACTAACACATAAGAATGTTTATTTGAACTATTATCTGTATACTCAAGGAAATTACAAACAGATGAACATAATGAAGAGAGAAATAAAAGATAAAAACAAATCCAGAGACAGAGAAGCATCGATCAGACCATCAAACGTCAGAGGGAAGGTAGGGGAGGGTGGGGGTAAAGGGGAGAGATCAACCAAAGGACTTATATGCATGCATATAGGCCTAACCAATGGATACAGACAACAGGGGGGTGAGGGCATGAGTCAGGGGGGGAGGGGGTAAGGACACATATGTAATACCTTAATCAATAAAGAAAAAAATAATATACACCAAAAGGGAAAATAAGATATTAAAAAGGAGCAAATGGAAATTCTAGAGATGAAAATGTATCTAAGGTGAAACTTTTGACCCTGTCTGGGTAGCTCAGTTGGTTAGAGTGTAGTCCTCATATGCCAAAGTTTCAGGTTTGATCTCCAGTCAGGGCACATACAAGAATCAACCCATGAATGCATAAATAAGTGGAACAACAAATTGATCTCTCTCAAATAAAAAAATTAAAAAATTTTAACTGAGCCCTAGCTGGTTTGGCTCATCGGATAGAGCGTCGGCCTGCGGACTCAAGGGTCCCAGGTTCGATTCCGGTCAAGGGCATGTACCTGGGTTGCGGGCACATCCCCAGTGGGAGATGTGCAGGAGGCAGCTGATTGATGTTTCTCTCTCATCGATGTTTCTAACTCTCTATCTCTCTCCCTTCCTCTCTGTAAAAAATCAATAAA